TTGTACACTCTATGGATGTCAGAATCTACTTCAGTGACGGAGCACTTAAACACACTGAACACTTTATTTTCTCAGCTTACATCCTTAAGATGTACAATAGGAGAACAAGAACGTGTTGAACTTCTACTTCAAAGTCTACCTGATTCGTATGATCAACTTATCATCAACTTGACAAATAGTAATGTCACAACTCTAGTCTTCGATGACGTTGCAGCTGCTGTTCTCCAAGAAGAAAATCGGCGCAAGAACAAGGAAGACAAACAAGTAAATTTGCAACAAGCAGAAGCGTTGACAACGATGAGAGGGAGATCAACAGAACGTGGCCAAAGCAGCAGTCACAAATATGGTAGATCGAAGTCGAGGAGCAAGAAGAATTTAAAGTTCTACAACTGTGGAAAGAAAGGTCACTTGAAGAAGGATTGTTGGAGTCTAAATAAAAACTTCAATCCACAAGGTAATACCGCAAACACTTCAGATGATGGAGATGCTCTATGTTGTGAAACGTCAACCACCGTAGAATGCAGAAAAAGATTTGCAGACATATGGCTCATTGAGTTGGGAGCAACATATCACATGACCTCAAGAAGAGAATGGTTCCATCATTATGAACCTGTCTCAGGAGGATCTGTGTATAGCTGCAATGATCATGCCTTAGAGATCGTTGGCGTGGGAACCATCAAATTGAAGATGTATGATGGAACAATTAAAGTTGTTCGAGATGTGCGGCACGTGAAAGGCCAAAAGAAAATTTATTATCCTACGATTGTTGGATAATAATGCAAGCGAGATTGAAAAACGGAAAGGAATCATGAAGGTGTTCCGTGGAGTGCTTGTGGTGCTGAAATGCAAAAAGATAGCAGTAAACTTGTACATGCTAAAGGGGGAGACTTTGCCAGAAGCAGAAGCCTCTGTTGCCTCATGTAGTTCAGATTCTGCAATGCTATGGCATCAGAAACTTGGACACATGTCAGAACAATGAATGAAAGTCCTTGTGGAGCAAAAGATACTTCCGGGCTTAACAAAGGTATCACTTACTTTGTGTGAGCATTGCATAACAAGTAAGCAGCACCGGTTGAAATTCAACACATCAAATTCCAGAGGCAAAAATGTTCTAGAATTGGTTCACTCTGACGTATGGCAAGCACCAGTTACATCCCTAGGCGGAGCAAAGTACTTTGTCTCATTTATTGATGACTACTCCAGGAGAAGTTGGGTGTACCCTATTAAGAAGAAGTCAGATGTGTTTTCAACTTTCAAAAACTTCAAAGCGCGGGTGGAACTTGATTCTAGAAATAAGATCAAGTGTTTCAGAACAGATAATGGAGGAGAATACACAAGCGAAGAATTTGATGACTTTCGCAGGAAATAATGCATTAAAAGATAGTTCATAGTGGCGAACACTCCTCAACAAAATGGAGTGGCAGAGCAGATGAACAGAACCATGTTATAAAGAACAAGAGCAATGTTGAGGGATGCAGGCCTAGAAAAATCATTCTGGGTAGAAGCAGTCAATACCGCATGTTATTTGGTGAATCGAGCTCCATCAACTGCAATAGAGATGAAGACACCAATGGAGATGTGGACTGGTAAACCAGCTGATTATTCAAACCTCCATGTATTTGGAAGTGTTGTGTACGTGATGTACAACTCCCAAGAAATTTCAAAGTTGGATCCAAAATCCAGGAAATACAAATTCTTGGGGTATGCTGATGGTGTAAAGGGGTATCGGTTGTGGGATCCCACTACCCGCAAAGTGATCATCAGCAGGGATGTTATCTTTGTAGAAGATAAACTAAAAAGAAAAGAAGACGATGATAGCACTGAAAAGTAAGAGACTACACAGATACATGTGGAAAATGAGGTTGAACAAGGAGATTCTTCTGAAGCAGAACCAGCACATGATGAACAAGAACCAGAGAGTTCTGAAGCTCCAACAACTCGTCAATCAGATCGTGTGAGAAGATGTCCCAATTGGCACTCAGATTATGTTATAGAAGGTAATATTGCGTACTACCTTTTAATAGAGGACGGTGAGCTATCAACATACCAGGAGGCAATAAACAACTTAGATGCTTCATTATGGATGATGGCGATGCAAAAAGAAATTGAAGCCCTTCATAAAAATAATACATGGGACCTTGTGCCACTACCACAAGGAAGGAAGCCAATTGGTAACAAATGGGTCTTTAAAATCAAGCGAAATGGTGACGATCAAGTTGAGAGATATCGTGCAAGACTGGTGGTCAAAGGATATGCTCAAAAAGAAGGTATTGATTTCAATGAAATATTGTCTCCTTTGGTTTGACTAACAACAGTTCAAATAGTTTTGGCAATGTGTGCTACATTGAACTTACATCTAGAGCAGCTAGATGTTAAAACAGCTTTTCTTCATGGAAATCTTGAAGAAGAGATTTACTTGCTCCAACCTGAAGGTTTTGAAGAAAAAGAAAAGAAGAACTTGGTTTGCAGGTTGAACAAATCTCTGTACGGTCTAAAGCAGGCGTCGAGGTGTTGGTATAAGAGATTTGATTCCTTCATTATGTGCCTTGGATACAACAGACTTAATGCAGACCCTTGTGCTTATTTCAAGAGGTCTGGTAATAACGATTTTGTTATTTTGCTGTTGTATGTGGATGACATGTTGGTTGCAGGACCCAACAAAGATCATATTGAAGAATTGAAGGCACAACTGGCTAGGGAATTTGAAATGAAGGACTTGGGATCAGCAAACAAGATTCTAGGGATGCAAATTCACCGAGCGGAAGTAATAAGAAGATTTGGCTTTCACAAAAGAATTACTTGAAGAAGATCTTGTCACGATTTAGCATGCAAGATTGTAAGCCAATTTCTACCCCTCTTCCTATTAACTTCAAATTATCCTCCAGTATGAGTCCTAGCTGTGAAGAAGAGAGGATGGAGATGTCTAGACTACCGTATGCATCGGTAGTGGGAAGTTTAATGTTCGTTATGATATGCACAAGACCAGACATTGCACAAGCAGTGGGAGTGGTTAGTCGGTACATGGTGAATCCAGGCAAATAGCATTGAAATACAGCAAAGAGGATCCTGAGATACATCAAAAGGGACCTCAAATATTGCATTATATTACAGAGGATCAAACTTACTAATTAATAGGTATGTAGATTCTGACTATGCAGGGGACTTTGATAAAAGCAAATCTACTACAGGATATGTGTTCAAAGTTGTTGGTGGAGCTGTAAGCTGGGTTTCACAATTGCAGTCAATTGTGGCTACATCCACAACAGAGGCAGAATATGTAGCAGCTACACAAGCCAGTAAAGAAGTAATTTGGTTGAAGATGCTATTGGAGGAGCTTGGGCACAATCAAGAGTATGTCTCTCTGTTTTGTGATAGTCAAAGCACCTTGCATCTAGTAAGGAATCCAGCATTTCATTTAAGGACAAATCACATACGAGTTCAGTACCATTTCATTCGTGAAAAAGTGGAAGAAGGGACGGTAGATATGCAGAAGATCCATACCAAAGACAACATAACAGATTTCGTGACGAAGGCGATCAATGCCGATAAATTTACTTGGTGTCGATCCTCTTGTGGCCTGTCAGAGACGTAAGCAACATGATGGTACAAGGTAGAAAGAATGGTGAAGATATGATTGTTCCAATCAAATCTTCAAGTGGGAGATTGTTGAAAAGTCAAATATGCATTTAGCATATGGGCGGCTAATAACGGGGCGGCTGGAAAAATGGCTTTGGGCGGCTAATGTAGTCAAATTTAGGTAACCAAATTGTTGAATTTATATAATGGGTAAATGGCAAATTTAGTCATTGCAATTTAGGGTATTTATAAGATTAGTCCTTAAGCTTCAACTATAAATACCCTAGCTCATTTAGCTTCAAAACCATCTCAAAGCATTCTAGCTTTCTTACAATACTAGAGAGAATTTAGAGAGTTTCTTGAGAGTTGTTTTCTCCTTTTTATCAAGAGATAATTATCATTGTTTTCTCCTTGGTAGATTAAGAGAAGTTGTAATTCCTATTTTCTCATAGTGAAATTCTTCTACTATTGCCCGTGGTTTTTACCCTATATTATTTAGGGGTTTTCCACATAAATTTTGTGTCTCTTTTATCTTCATATTTTATTTTCTCAAATTATCAGTTGCGATTTTGCTCTATCCGATAATTATCTTCCGCAATAATACTCATCCCTAATTATCGAATTTGGAATACATACCTCCTAATACAATCATGATTTTGACATCAAATAGTAACCAACCTTAATCCCTAATGCATGAGTTAAACTCCTAATCCAAGTTTTTTAACACTCAGTAGCCATTAAGCACAATCATAAAAAAACCCCGAATCAAAGTAAATTCCATGATTAAGTAATTTCAAGAACAGATAAATCAAAATAAAGGTGTAATGTTAATAATTAAATTTATAAAAGAAATAGGTTGATGATCAAAATGAAAGAGAAATAATAATATAATGACCAACATGTAGTTTACCCAACAGACTTTAGGGTAAACTACATGTTTAATAACTAAACTATTACTTTTGTTTTACTTTGGTACTCAAACTTTATTTTTTTCTAAAACATACATAATATTTAGTTTGAGTTCTATTTTGATACCCATTATTAAAAACTTAACGCTTTAACGGTGATATTGATGTCATCATAAGGTAATTTCATGTCATCATTGAAAAAAAAAAAAATATTACATCAATAATTTTGTTCATTTTTTAGCGGGGAATACCAAATTAAAATATAAACTACACATTATGTATGATTTTAAAAAAAATAAAGTTTGAGTAGGTACTAAACCTATAGTTTACCCACACAGTTTCATCCCTAGATTAGTTGACAGCAAAATAAATCATCTTTGGTTACCCAAATCCAAGCTTGACGATGCATCTGTTGAGCGTTGCTGAAAACGCTGCGTTTTGTATTTGAATTCCAAATATCCATTCCACAACAAATACAAATTCAACGGGAAAGGTTTGTTTAGGGAGGAAGAAAATGGCAATGGCTGGTTTTGGATTTATAAATGTAATGAAATCCGTTGATCGATTTGTGAGAAGTAATGGCGTTTCCTTGGTGGCTAAGGCGCCGCCGCCATCGCTATCGCCGTCAAGCTGTTTCTTTATGCCCCTAAAGAGAAAAGGAATAGGGTATCAATTACAACTCTACTGTTGCAGTATTAGTAATAACGACAGTGATAAGAGTTGTTACTTGACATTGAAGGATGAAGAGCTGATGCGGCAGTGCGAGATGACCAGGTTCAAAGCGTCCGGCGGCCCTGGCGGTCAGCACCGTAACAAGCGAAAGTCCGTCGTTCGTCTCAAGCACCTCCCTACCGGTATCGTTTCCCAGGCCGTTGAAGACCGATCCCAGCACATGAATCGTGCTTCTGCCTTAGCTCGTCTCCGCACTCTTATTGCTCTCAAAGGTAACCCTATTTTCCGTTTTCTGCTTCTTCATTCTTCATTCTAATACGCTAATTGGTGTTTGATTAATGTTAATGAAGTCAGAAATCCCGTCTCTCTTGAATCATACTCTCCTCCTCCCGAGCTTCTTCAAATTCTTATTGGTATATGCGTCTTCCCACTTTAATTTTGGTCATTTTAGCATTACATACTGATGAGTTGTGGTTCATTTTAACCCCTTCCACAGGGCATGCAGACTCTGTTTGATCTAATCTTTGCAGTTGAAGGGTCTATATCTGATGCTGCAAAGTTCTCGGTGCGTTACATTAACCTTGTTAGTACTTCCATTGCCTGCCTTCTGCCCAGTTTAGTTGACTCATCTATTCTTCTGCCAGTTGTTTATACCGGTTGGAATCCATCTCTTATTGAATATCATGAATTATATAACAGTTGTCAAATAACTAATCTTGCAGGATGAGTACTGGGGCACTTTCACGGTTACTACTATCAGATGATTCCCTTTGGAAGGCAGTAAACGAGCTGAGGGCTTCCAAGGTAGCACACTTAACCATCATCAAAGCTGTGATTTTAATTTGTTCGGTTCTCTAGATTTAACGCTTAAACTCAAAAAACAGGACACTTCTATCATTTCATTCCTTTTACTTGGTTATCAGTTTTGCTTCATTCCAAAAAAAAATTCCCAATCCCTTTTTTATTGATAGATTATCCTGTTTCATAATGCGTCTTATGGCATTTTCATTTTTCAAACATTACCTTTTGATTGTCTCTTGGAAAGGCTTGCACGCCTCTGAACACAGAGGTGTCTATTTTCCGGACTTTTCAATACCAGTTTCATGAACAATGATGCTATAATTAAATAAAAGAATCTTGAAAATGACATAGTAAGGAAAAACATCAGAAATCTATAATCTAAGTCTTGTTTAATTTTTTCTATTCTTTCATCATGTCTTTTTCTAATTCCAAATTATGAACTTTCTGATATAATATTTGAAATATATTGGTCAATTTGCCTCAAAATTGGACAAATGATTCTTAAATTATATTTTAATTTATTTTTCAATTTTAAAATATCTTTTTAGCAAAATATTCTCCATTTATTATATCCTGATCAATTTTTCTTCAAAACTGAAAATATATGGGTAAATTTGTTCCAAAATTAGAAATGTGATGGTAAGTTGCTCTAAGATTAGAAGTACTATTGTAATTGATTTGGTTGAAAGAGAAATGGTATATTTGAACCACTCACACAAGTATAGTAGTAAATTTGCACACAATCCCTTTAATATAGTCTCGATGGTAAAAGTTTGTGATTTGGTTTTGAGTGAACTATGTATGCTCAGTTGGTAGAGCGTCCTTGAAAGATTTAAGTCACTGAACTTCAACATTCTTATAAATATCTTGGCTTTTGTAACTATAAATTGGAAAGGAGGTTGGACTATTATAATTCTGTGTTTGGAACTCCATAGGGTATGAAGTCGTTGAAGTAGGACTGTCATATGTGGATGCAAACCATTCCTTTGCGTATCAGGTACACCAAATTCTTTGTTTTTTTAATAAATGATTCAAACACACCTATTTTTTTGGCCACCAAAGATCCTCATTTAACTATTGGGTCATAACCAAAAAGTAAAAAGTAAACATAATAAACTTTTAAATGGTTGTTGCTTTTGTTTTTAAATGCTTATTTGGTTGCATTTGTTGCGGAGCATTCTTAGTGTATGTTACAGATTTGTAGGCTAAAATCTTAAGACGAATATATATTGTATTTAATGTTGGATATCACATAGTTAACATAGAATATTATTCTACATATTATATGACCTATGTACTTGTATATATACCCCTAATGTCTATGAATAAAAATGAGGAAGCTTTCTAGTTCAAAAATTCTTCATGATATCATATTATCAAATCAATTAATGGTTTTCAATTTGGGGTTTTTGTTGTCTATTTGTATGTCCAAAAAGGTTATTGTCGTTCTTCAAAAAGCAGGTTTTGGAGGCTTTTCTGTCGACATTGCTAGCACAAAGAGGTTCACCATGTGCCGATCGGTCAGCCACTGACAGTCGATCACCAGATTCCTTGCGCATGAGTCCCTCACGACACTAGAAAAGTTATCCAGTATGAGAGCACGTAGGTGGATTTTTTGGTACCGTCTTCTTTCTCGGACTTCAGATTCTGCTTATGGCATACCCTTGTGGTCAGTTTGTGACTTCAGTTAAATTTTAGTTTGGGTTTTTGGATTTGGCTTTTCTACAAATTTTGTTTTGTAGCTGTCGTGGTCTTTGGCTTCACAGTAGCCACAATTTTAGTGTTTGTTGTATTACACTTGGCCTTTGGAGCATGCTTTGTTGATTTGGTCAATAGTTTAGTCTTTCATTTTGGAGTTTGGTGACTTTATTCGTACTATTACCTTCCTTTTGGCTTCGATAGATTTAATTGTTTTGAGAGTACTTCTCGTATCCTTAGTTTTAAAAGGCGCTAAGCATATTGCACCGAGGTGCAAGGGGTTTCTGTAGTCTACGCGTGCGATGCAAGGCAAAGGCGCAGACTTTTTGTAGACGAGGCACACTTTTATACTAAAAAGGATTATAAATTAATTCTAGAGTATATTCACACCCAGTACTCAGTGGTTCACTCTTAAATCACTTAATCTCCTCTTCACATTCTATTCTTTCATTATTATTTGTCCTCTCCTCAAGAGTCAAAGACCCATTTCTATAATTCACAATACCCCAGTTTTCAAAATATTTTAACACAAAGTTAGGGTTATCATAATTTTGATAAGGAAACGAGTTCCATACTTTGCTATATGTCCCTTTCACCAAATTCTACATATATTGATTTATATTTAATTATTTTAATATTTACAATTATTATTTTATTTATTTTTAAATAATACAAATTATTTTAATATTTACAATTATTATTTTATTTTATTTAATTTAATATTTTAAAATTAATTATAAACATTGTTAAATAAATTAATTAAAAACATAAAAAAAAAAACAGTGTACTTTTGATAAAAAAAAATATGATGATAATGTATAAAGGAAGTGTACTAGAAGTATTTTTAGTGAAAAATGTTGGAATGGACTTTTTATAAATAAAAAATATTAGTTTATTTAAAGTTGGGCTATATATTTGGGCCATTAAATAAGTTACATAAATTTTATATATGTTAGGGTTATTATTCTGCCATTCTATCTTCTTCTGCTACTCTTGCTTTCTTCTACACACGTTCTTTTGCTACAGACGTTATGTTTTATCTTTTTTAATCTCTTATTTCAATTTTCTTCCTTTTTCATGTTTTAGTTCATTAGACGGCAGAAGCGCGTGCCTGGAGCCTTTGAACAAAAGCTCCAAAGGCGGAAAAGGCGCTCACCCGCCATTATGGCTTTGCATGTACCTCCGAAGGCGTTTTCCTCCACTAAGATATTTCATTTAGGTCAAAAGGTGCCTAGGGGGTGTAAACGAGCAAGTCAAGAAATACTGCTGAGTTCAACTCAAACTCAAAAACATTAGCAATAAACTCAATTTAAAAACTAACAAACTATCTAGGTATATATGTTAGAAAGAGGTAGTTGCCTTTTATTTATAATGTCAATAAGTGGTCCACTCATGTACTTCCCAATGTGGGATATTACTTCAGCATAAAATCACTCTTTACTCACGACAATTATGAGCTGCAATGGAAAGAAAGGGCATTTAAACGACAATCGCGCCATCCGGCGCTCCAGGAAATATTCCAGTAGCGAATATCAGTTGCAGATGCTATTTAAATCACTGCCACACAATTCTACCGAGCTCTAACCTGATTCAATGTTGTGAGCCCTCCTCTGATATTCTTTGGTGCTATTTCAGCTATGAAGATTGGGACCTGTTTGTTTAGTGGGAAAATGATTAGCAACTTCAGTATATTCATCAAGAAATGCTTATTGTCTGAGGGGGGAAAATTACCACATATGAGAAAACTCCAATGCCATAACCAGTGGAAAATCTTCCAGCATCGAGTGAAAGAGCCCCCTGCAATAGGATCACGCAATTTTGGGTACTTTCTATCCAATTTAAATCCTAAATTCTCTGAGATGATAATCTCATTGCCTGATTCCATTGAAGTTGCAGAAATTTAGTACAGTTATCATTTGCAATATGCTTTTTTCAATTCAATTCCGAAACAGAACATACCCCTTTTCGACCAATCATGTCTGCAATCCTACCACTAGTGACAGCAACCAGCATTGCACCAATGGTAAGATGGAACCAAACATTGAAAACTAGAAAAGAAATCGATAACAAGTTAGTGACGGTCGATAACAGTTTAATTTTGCATTTACGTGAATTTAATCATCATTCTAAAGTTAGTATATTTAGCTTAAATTAGTCCTCACATTTAGGTTTCTTAATTTAGTCCATGTTTAGGATTGTTTTGTTTAATTAGTTGTGTATATTTATTTTGCATGTTGATATTATGTATAAGTATGCGATAATTATTTAGGAGTCACATAACATCATTTTGCATAATTTGTATGTTACCTTCATGTGCATAACTTAACCCCTGTTACATAATTGGATTAAGGGTTTAGTGGTTAGGGTTTATGTTTAGGTTTAGTTTTAGTTTAGGGTTTAGGGTTTAAAATTTAGGGTTAGGTTTTAGGGTTCAATGTAAAGACATAATTAATCGACTTGGTACCGATTTATGAGGTAAGTACAATATAGTATTTTGATATTAAATACTCAAACCCTTGATATTATGATATTTGAACATGAAACCTCAAAATATAACAACAATTTAAAAAATTAGTTATTAAAAATTATCATTAGAATATATTAAAATATTGTCATTAGATAAATATTTTTTAATTAAAATAAATATAAGAATATTATTCAAAAATAATTTTTAACCATTTTCAATTTTTCTATGTTTGGCTATTTTTCTTATTTTTTATTTTATTTTTTTACGTTGTCAAGTACTTGTGCAGTAAAAAGTTAAAAATGAAAGAAAAAAAAAATCAACCAAACATGTGTAATGTAACATGTGCTTAATTATATGGGCTTTTATTTTTCTTTTAGTAATATGCAATGTAACAATTGAACTTGGGTTGGTTAATTAAATAAATAAAATTTGAGGTAGTTGTATTATAGATTTTTCAATATTTTTAAAATTTATAATTATCATAG